GTATATTATTAATATCTCTCTACATATATATATCTCCATATGCATATCTCTTTATCTATCCATCTACTGCTTAAAAGTAAATCCTATCGATTTTTAACGGTGGACTTGCGCATACTTGAAATTGTCTTTTCTGAAGACATAAAGAAAAATGAAAACAAAGGAGACTTCTTACTGGAATGAAATTTTCAAAGCTCCTAGCAAATTATGCTAGACCTTGTTCTTTTTCCTTGAGTTAAAAGTGGCAAGGCAGTCTGTTTTTGGAGCCAGTTAATGTACTGCTGGCATTTGGTCAAACAAGGGGGACTGTGATAAACAAAAAAACATCCTCCTGGCCTTTCTTAGCTTCTCCTATATGCATGATTGGACTTTCTCTAGCTGCATTCTAAAGGCAAGAGAGGACACTAGGCAGAAAAGCAAACATCACAAAACTAATGGGGTGGTGACAATATAGGCTGAAGAAGATAGGATCTGCATAGAGGCATTTTTGTGTGGCATCTACAGGGGAATTAGTTTTCTGGCTTCCGCTTGAAGGAATGAATGGCCAACCACTTACATCAGCACAGTGCGAGCCTTCCCAGCATGGAGAAGCTGTTTTGAAGGGGCCCTGCCTCAGCAGACTTTGTGCATGTGTATCTACACTTAAGAGTCTGTTAAATGGCCTCTGTGCCTCCAGTCCTGCCCTGGGTCCAGTCTACTCTCCATACTGCACCCAGGCTGGAGGGATCTTCCCAAACTGCAAATGAGATCAGATCACCTCCTCCCTTCAATGGCTCCCACTGCCCTTAAGGTAAATCTGAACTCCTTAACATGGCTCAAAAAATACATCACATGAACTGGCTCCTGCTTACCTCTCTAGCCTCATCTCTCATTCTCTTAAGTTTATGTTCCAGTTCATACTTAACATCTTTTAGTTCTTTGTAAAGAGGTCAAAGATTTCTCATGTACTATCCCTTTTGTCTAGCCACATATCTCCTATTCAGCCTTCAAAGCTCAGCTGACAAATCATTTTCTCAGGGAGGCCTTCGCAGATTCTTAGGCCATGTCAGGTCCTACTGCCATACTTTTACACAATTTCCTGTACCTAACCTGTCATAGTGCTTATCCACTTTTATTGGTACTACTCATTTAATTGCCTCTTTTCCCTGATAGCTCAGAGAGGACAGAGATGTGTCCACCTTGTTCACCACCAAATACAGTGATTAGTACATGGTAGGTTCTCAATAATTATTTGCTAGGAGGGAATAAAGAGGAATGCAAGAATAAGAGTGATCCCTAGCATCTCTGGTAGTATCTTCACTACAGTTGCTATTCACAGGACTTGGTGACTCCTTGAAAGCAAGTTAATAACGTACTTTTTCTTAATTTCATTTGATGTGCTATTTCTTTTGAAAATTGCACATAAATTAGTTCTCTGTAATTACAATTTCCTATACTTGACTTCTTGTTGAACTTTCCCTATGATTATTTTCATGCTAAGTACTGATGCAGGATCCTTCCTTACCAGTAATTAGGTGTCATTTATAACATAACTCCTGATTAGATTAATTTATGCGAACAGGCTTGGGCTTTTTAATTTACTTTTATTTTGCCTGTCTTATTTATATGCCTAAAATGGCATGCTCTCATATATATATATATAGGCAGCACCAAAAATAAATGATTTTGGTCTGCCACCTAGCTTTTCAACATGAAGGGCTGCTGAAGAGATTAGGTTTATCGAATGCCAAGTGCTGCATGTGTACAGCTGACTCCTAAATTGTTGAGCTAGCTTCTTATTTCTTTTTATTCTTGATTTCTGACAATCTTCTCATATTATTACTTTAAGATTCAGGAATTACTTGCAATAAGCAGAGTTTTATAATATTATTTACAGTAGAAGTCAACTAGTGGATCAAATGCCTTATTTATAGGCAGTGTACAATGTCAAGCTGAGCTAGCTAGTCAGCATGTGAGATGCTGGGCTGGACAAGACCTCCCCATCATTTATAACCATCACTTCTCCATTCCATAAAATTCACTTAGACAAAGGTTCTACCTGAGTATCTGATAATATGTGGCTTTACAAGGTTCCTGTGCTTGATATGGGAGTACAATGTTGAAACCTGAAAGTTTTAGGCTTTTTGCCTAAAACATCTAGAAAGAACTCCATCATCTGGACCTTTGGATGAAAGGCCAAGATCCTTGTCACCCCACCCTATGTAAATATATCTGTTTTCATTTTTAAGAGGTAGTGCTTCCCCTGATATATAATCAAATCAGTCTCCATTAGCAACACTTGAAGACAATTAAAAGGCAATGAATTACTTAGGGATTTTGGTTTATGAAGTTACCTGGTCTTCACGGGAAGTTCCCTTCTTTGGCTGCTGCTTCCTCAAAGCTTCATACTTTTGCTTTTCTCGTCTGTATTCTGCAACAGCACCATCTGGAGCAGACTCTTCCTCTGAAGAATATAGAATATTCTTAGAATAAATAGTAAAAAGGCTCTGTGGATTCATATTAATGTCTATGTTCATGTCACTGAAGAGGAGGTCAGAACCTGGGATTGGTTTTCCTCCATTTAACTTAAAAATCAAACCAATAAACTCCACCAGCTCCACAACTATTTCCTAGATTAGAAAGGGATTGATGTTAATTTATCAACCAATTTTATAAACATCTTTATTATATACTATACTATTGTAGTTCTCATTTGTACTCATTTGAGTATAAAATCACCTATCTCACTTTGAAAATAATTAAGATTTTCCTAAAATTCAGCAAAACCATTTTACATTATTCTCCTGACTTACAAGATATAATCTTTCAGTATTGGTTGATTTTCCAATTACCTGCCACTTTTGCTCCCTACTTAAAACAACAACAAACAACTTCAATTTGATGGCATCATAAAAAATAAACATATCTAACAAATAAGTCAGTTAAGATAGTTACCAGTGCAGACAAAATAATTTTTACTAAATTAGAAATTAGAAAACAAATCTATGGATTTGATCCTGCAATAATTCCATGTGAAGATTAGTTAACATCTGGGTTCATAAATCACAGTTTTGCCTCAAAAAAAAAAAAAGTATTAACATTACAATACCTTACACGCATATATATTAATGAAAATTTGTGACAAAAAAAACCAACCTATCTTTTCTCATCTTTGACTGGCAAACCAAGACGAGCCAGATGTAATCAAGAATGCTAGTAATCTTTCTACTCAAGCCTTAGTTTGTTGCTTGCCTCTTTGTTATCTAGTTTGAAGAATGTTATTAATGTGCAATGTATTAACAATCAGCCATTTTGTTCAAGAGATTTTCTAGTTAAAAAAAATGTGTGAACTAAGAAACAAGTAGTCTTTTTATGTTTACCTAATATCATTATTTTGATGTAACTTGAAAGGAATAATCAATTTTATAAACAATTTTATATGGAATCATTAAAAGTGTGTCCAGCTCGGCTTTCAAGACTGACAGCTATAAATATTAAAAACAGAGTGCAATAATGAAAAAGAAAGTGTTACATACAGAAATAATATTTTAGGCATATATGCTTAATAACCACTAGTGAAGAGAGGATGTTAATAATTGGTATATATAAAGTGATTTCTTATAATGGGTTTTTAAAAATTACTTTCACGTTTTTCTATTGAATTACATCTTTGAATACCTCTCTTTTTATCCTATAGTAATTGGCTTTACATCACCCTGGGATAAAGATTAAGCACCTTAACGTGACTTAGGAGTCCCTGTATGAGGCAGCTAATGCTTTCCTTTCCAGGCTCATCTCTTACAACTCCTTCCCAGGATCCACCTTGAAGTGCTTTCATTTGCCTTATCACTATTACTTTCTGAACTCTCCCTGCTCTCTTGACCTCTAGCCTTTGTACATGCTGTTCCTTCTTTCAGGTATACCAAAAACACTCCATCTCTCCATTCCCCAATTAACTTTCCTTGCTTAATTCCTGCTCATTTTTTTAGGTCTCAACTAGGCTGGCATTTCCTTCTGGGAGCCTTTTCTGATTCCATGCCTGAAATCTGGTTTGGATGTACTTCCTTTGAGCTTCCAGAGCACCCTTTAGTGCTCATCACACTTGGTGGTAATTTCTTGCTTTCTCTTCTTTAACCCTCACTAGACATTAAATCCCTTGAGGACAAGTCATATTCCCCTGGGACTTAGAAAAATGTTTGGCACATGTTAGAAGCTCAATAAATAGTCAACTAAATGAATGAAGTAATAATGAAACTGGAGAAGAGGAAAACAAGAAGGTAGCGGGTCAATCTGGCCCCCCAGGATCACAGTTATAGACAGTATTTGCCATGCATCTGGATGCATCCATCACATTTAGGGAGTCAATAATATTTCTTTTCTGCCATTTCCCTATGGCAGAATTTCATAAAATCCTTAGAAAAATTCTCATGAGTATCCCTAGGACTGTTTAATGTTTTAACACTTAAATGCAAAAGAGCAAGGACAAGTTCTTTACTTAGATGTTCAGCTACAAATGACTGAAAACTTTTATTTGTAGTGAGAATTTTTAAATAAATGGAAAGGCTGATATAAATGAATTTGGTCATCTCACGTCACAGGTAAGTCAAGCTTACAACCTTCAGAACACATTCAGCTGACTTTAGTGTTTAACACGCATCTCCTTAAATATGGTCCCCTTTAGCAAGGATCAGCCACTTGATTCACTTTTTAGGAAAGTGTAGGAAGCAGAAAATTTTAAAAAAGTTGTGCCACAAAGAAACCTTAAAAATCAATTAAAAAAGTCAAGGATAGGCAAAATAAAGTAAGGAAGTTCTATAGCTAAGTTGCTTATAACATTAAAAGGTCTCCTAATAACTTAGAAAAAATATTCACCTTATCTTGGAAACTGAATGGTAGTGACAGAATTTTTTTAAATGGCTATACTGAGATATACTTTATGTATAGTAAAATTCACTAATTTTGAGTGTACAATTTGATGACTTTTGGTATTGTATATAGTACGTAACCTCCACTGCAATCAAGATATAGAACAGTGCCATAGCCCTAAAAAGTACCTTAGTGTTCCCTTACAATCGATTCCTCACTTCTTTCCCTGGCCCCAGGCACCACTGATCTGCTTTCTGTCGCCATAGTTTTATCCTTACTAGAAACTCATACAAATGGAATCATACATTATGTAGTCCTTTATGTCTGACTTTTTCCACTTAGCAAATATTTTTGAGACTCATCCATGTTGTTGGGTGTTCTTTTCTATAACTCAGAGTATTCCATACTATAGATACACTCTAATTTGTTTATTCTTTCACCAGTTGGTAGACTTTTGAGTTGTTTCCAGTTTTTGGCTACTATAAATAATGCTTCTGTGAACATTCACATACAAGTCTGTTCGTGGACATATATTTTCATTTCTCTCGGGTAAATACCTAGGAGTGGGATTGCTAGGTTATATGATAAGTGTCTGTTTAATTTTACGAGATACTGTCATAATGCTTACCAAAGTGGCTGCACCACTTTGGTTGCATCATTCCTACCAGCAATGTAGGAGAGTTTGAGTCACTCCACATTAGCAATTATATTTGGCACTGTCATTTAACTTTTGCCATTCCAGTGGGTATGAAGTGGTATCTTATGTGGTTTCAACCTCCATTTCTCTGATGACAAGTGATATTAAACATTTTTATGTGCTTTTTGGTCATTCATATATCTTCTTTTGTGAAGTGTTTATGCAAATCTTTTGCCCATTAAGACATTTTTTCCTTATTACTGAGATTTAAGAGTTTTTAAAAATATATTCTGGATACAAGCCCTGTGTTAGATATATAGTCTGAAAATGGTTTCTCTCAGTCTGTGATTTACCTTTCCATTTTCTTAAATGTATCCTTCAAAGAGCAAAAGTTAAGTTTTGATAAACATCATTTTATCAATTTTTAATTTTATAGATCATACTTTTTGTCTTACCCAAAATTCTTTGCTTGCCCCAAGGGTTCAAAAGTTTTGTCCAATGTTTTCTTTTAAAAGTATAAAATTTTAGCTCTTTTGTTTAGCTATATGATTTATTTCAAGTTATTTTTTGTGTATGGTATAAAGTAATGGATGAAGTTATATATTTTTTAATATAGAGATATCAATTGTTATAGCACCATTTGTTGAAAGGAAGAAAAAGGCTTTCTTTTCCCTATTGAATTACCTCGGCACTTTTGTTTAAAATTAATTGACTATGTATGTATGAGTCTATTTCTGGATTACCTCTCTTCTGTTCCATTAATCTATGTCTCTCTTTATGCCAATATTACATTGTCTTGATTACAGCAGGTTTATAGTAAGTCTTGAAATCTGGTAGTGTTAAGCCCTCTAACTTTGTTCTTGTTTTTCAAGATTATTTTGACTCTTCTTGTTCCTTTGCCTTTCCATATAAATTTTAAAGCAGTTTGTCAATTCCGAAAGTCAGCTAGGCGTGGAATGTATAAATTAATTTGGGGAGAACTGTTATCTTAATTAACAATATTGAATCTAATAGAATTTTACTGAATTAATTTGCCACTGTTTTTGAGGTCTGTGATGTAGTAGTCTTGGTTCCAACCATCATGGCAAGTGGTGGTGCTGGTTGTCGGGTAGGAGTGGTGAGTAGTTATTTTTTCTCATCTTTGTAACTATCCCAGGACCAGTATTTCAGAGATAGGAATGTTCTGAAACAAGTAAAGGTAATTATAAAATGATGGGCTGATATTCATTCTAGAAGAAATAACATGAAATATCAAAAATAAAGAATAAGCAGTTTTTATAGAATGGAAAACAAATAGAGAAGTACCTCTCTTCTATCAAAATCTCATGGGAATATGAAAAAGAAGGTATGGCTATCTGCAGCTTCATGTTCATTGCAGCTTTATTCATAACAGCCAAGATATGAAAACAATCTATGTGTCTGCTGAAGGCCAAATAGAGAAAAAAAATGTGGTATATACATACAATGGAATACTATTAACCCTTAAAAAAGAAGGAAATCTTTCTTGCCATTTGCAAAAACATAGATGAAACTGGAGGACATAATGCTAAATAAAATAAGCCAGACACAGAAAGACACGTAACACATGATCTCACTTTTGTGTGGAATCTAAAAAAAGTTGAACTTATAAAAGCAGAGAGTAGAATGGTGGTTGCCAGGGGATGGGGGTTGGAGAAAATGGGCAGCTATTGGTCAAAGGGTACAAAGGTTCAATTATTTGGGATGAATAAGTTCTCGAGATCTAATGCACAGCACGGTGAGTATAGTTAATAATACTATATCGTATACTTGAAATTTGCCAAGAGAGTTGATCTTGTGTTCTCACCACACACACACACACACACACACACACACACACACACACACACAAATTGTAACTATGTAAGGTGATGAAAATGTTAATTAGCTTGACTGTGGTAATCATTTCACAATGGCTTCTCTAGTTCTTGGTCTTCTGAGAT